GAACCAAAATATAGAAAGTGATTTAATCGTACCCGTAGAAGAAGTGGCACGAGGTTTTCCTAGCTCTACTCGTAATTTTCCTTGTTCTGGTGATTTGACCTAAAATTTAAAATAAAATATAATAAATAATTGTAAATAAAAATTCAGGTAATCCGATAAATAATAAACATTTACTTGATCATTAAGTTCCAAGGCCCTCTTCAACCCCGCTTCTGTCTTTAAATCAACATGGGCGAATTGTTTATTTGGTAGAAATCGAATGTCATCGACCTGGAATATATATTTAAATAATTGAAAGATATTAAAGATATTAATAAATTTATATAAACTAAAGAAAGATATTATATAAATTTATATAAACTAAAGAAAGATATTATATAAATTTATATAAACTAAAGAAAGATATTATATTAATTTATATAAAGGGTTTATATAAATTTATATAAGGGTTTATAAAAGAATTATAAATTAAAGAGAAATATTTAATACGAACATCTTCAGTTCTAAACAAAGACTTTAATCCATCCAGTGTCATTGAACCGGTCCATGCTATAAAGATGGTATGTTTCGCCTGTGAATAACCCGAAGGTTTATCAGGCTTATTCTATCAAAAATACAGATGTGATTGAGAAAAAAAAAAAAAATTACAATATAACAGTAAGATAACAGTAAGATAACAATAAAATAACAACAATAAGATAACAATAGGATAACAATAAGATAACAATTGGCAGGAATATGTAGAGACTAGATCGAACGAGATACCTTTTTATTACTTTTATTATTGTTATTATTATTATTATTGTTAGGGTTAATATTATTATTGTAATAATTATGATTATTATTGTTAACAGAGTTGTTAGTGCGTCGTGGAGGTGATTGAGGTAGGGGAGGGTAACTGAGTCTTCCGTCAGAGAGAGGTGTAAAATGAGAAATTAATGGAGTGGTCGCTTGATTAATAACTTCTTGATCATTTGATGGTCTAACTTGATATTCGGGGATTGGAGGTTCATGACTCATGAAACTACTATTCAAGAGAGGCGGAGCATGACTAATTGGGACATTATTAGTATTCTTTGAAATATTGTCATCGATATCCACTAACGAATGGTTTACTACATAATAGAGAATATATAACATAATTAATAAAATTAATAAAATTAATAAAATAAATAAAATAAATAAAATAAATGAAATAAATGAAATAAATAGAAAAGTGAGAAGGTTATAAATTATATACCATCAACATGAGGGATAATGGCGGTCGAACTAGGGACCAACTGCTGCCGGTTAACATAATGAGGGCGATTTGGATGCTAATTTTCCAAAAAATGAAATAGAAATAATAGAAATAATAGAAAATAAAGTCATTAATTTATTTTACACACATATATGCAAGTGAGTTGCAGAGGGAAAAACCTGTAACTGATATATAATTTTATTTTAACGGACTTATCGTTACAGTGAAAATTTAAAATATTCACTTTTAGGTTTTCACACTCCGACACTCATATTAACAAAAGATACAAACCTCATGACTTGAAAGAATGTCATCTACAACTTTATTTAATGCATTTTTAAGTTCTTGAGCTTTTTGTTTCGGATCACAATTACGGATATTTATTGATTGTTCTGGCATTTTCACCTTTTTATAATGAGTAAAAAAAAAAAAAAAAAAAAAAAAAAGTTAAAAAAAATATAACGAAAATATTAAAGAATTTATAAAGAATTAATAACTAAACATACCGATTGTTGTGCTTTTAATTTTAAATTTTCTCTTTTTAACTCTTCTATTTCCACAGTTAATCTGCTAATTTGTTCGTCTTTAGCCTATAATAATATATATTGTAACCATCATAAAAGGGAAAAACATTAGCCATTTTAAAAAAAAAGCGAATGTTGTGCGTCAGATTAAAAATTTGTCAGATCAAAATTTAATACGGAGTTTTCACTAAGGTTTATATAGTGGGCGTTTATGTTAAGGTAAGGGGTAAGTATTAGCGGGATTATAATAATTTTAGATTATAATAATTTTTAATCTGACACTATAACGCAGATATTAATTTGACGCACAACATAACTTATATAAATATTTTTTTTTTTTTTGTTGTTGAAAAAATTTGTAGTTTCTTAATATTTCAAAAGAAAAAGAAAAAAAAAAAAAAAGCATACTCTATATTCATCAAACATTTTTTTAAACATACTATTTTCAATCTAATAAAAGATTAAAATGAATTAATAAAAAATTAGTTTATTCACAAAAGATATGTAAAAAACTTGATCATATAATATAGTAACATACGGTTTCATTATTAACTGAACTGTTGGACATATCGAGGTTAGCAGAAGAGGGATCTGAGGTACCGGCCATTTACTTATAGATTTGAGAAGCCTTTGAGAGTAACAAATATTAAATAAGAGATAGTAATGGAATAGAGGAATAAGATTTAAATAAATTTAAAAGAGGAATATTCGGATAGGAAAATGATGAAGTTAACAAGTTTATAAAAGTTTATAATAAAAAGAAAAGAGAAAAGCGGAGTTATCAAGTTTTTTTTTTTCTTTTTTTTCAAGTAGCAGCGCAAAAAAAATTTGTAAAATGGAAAAAAAAAAAAGTAAGGGACTTAGTGTTATATAAATCTATAATCAATGCGTCTTAGTGGTTCACCAACTGTTTCATTTACTACCTTTACTACCGTAAATTGAACTATTACAAACTATGCAATGACCCTAACACAAAAAAAATCGAGGACCCTTTTTAAATAATATACATTTGGAGGATGTAATACAAAAGATTTTGTAATGACGTTTATGTAGCATCTAAATGACCGATATAGTAATTGAATATATTGTGATTTACATGGATTTTCTAGATTGTTAGAAATCATTACTTTATCCGAAATATTTAAAGAAAATGACCACATAAAGTACTTTTGATATTTCGATATAAGCAATGTAGCGGAAAAAGATGGAAAAGGTTAATGACCTAATCTGTTAACCTCAAACGGTGATTTATTGACTTGATTTGTATGTAACTCTTAAAACAAAGAATTTTCTTGTACGTTACTTACGCAAGCATATCGATATAGTATATAATAGCTGATAGAGTATATCAGATATGTATGTACTGTACGTATTATTATGATATAAATTATACGTATAATTATATAATTGATATAAAGTAATAATTATGATCAAGTATATAACAGATAAAGTATAAAATGACGAACACGAATTTCCAATTACTGAATTAAATGCAGATTAACACATCGATGTTATAAAACCCATGGTATTTTTATGCATCGTTCATATTATTGAACATTGTTTGACTTATCGTTATTACACACAAAACAAAAAGCAGATACCAAATCAATAAACAAGGTCATAAACAAGTTTTCCTCTCGAACTGATTTATGATTCGTTGAATAATAGCATATATCATCAAACAATCAATATACGTCAGATTGCATTCAAACATTACTCCTTATAGAATTCAAATGAATAATTGTGGTACATAATATATTCGCTATATATTTTTTTTAATAAACCGAACTTGTATTTTTAATTAATTATTATTGACACAAAACAACAAACTCCGCAGCCATTCATCGCTTCCCAAGAAATAACAAGAAACAACCTTCCAAGGAAATAATGGTTAA